TTTGCTGTGAGTCCTGATTGAGAGCCAATTCATAGGAAGCAAAGGTAAGAGTAGTGGCAGTCGTCTCATATCCCGCAACAAAGAAGACCCACGACTGGGCCAGGATTTCCTCTTCAGTGATATATTTATCGACATTACTTAAGATCTTTTTCTCCACTTCTTTCTCTTCCTTCCCTTAAAAGCAATCAAAAATATTAGACATGAATTCAACAAATAATAAAACTGTAAATTTCTTCACAAACAATGAAAAAGTCTAAATATTAGTGCAAACCTTCATTCACATGATGGGCTTCATTGACATCATTCTCATCTTCTTTGGGGTTATTATTAGTGCTATCCTTCTGTGCGTTCATTAATAACTCAATGAAATCGTTGTATTTCTTGTGACTATTCTTCCGCTCTTTCATTATACGTCTCGTGATGTTGAAGAAGAACTCATTGACCGACTCTTCTGCCGCATGAGTTATGTTCAATAATTTGAGCACAAATTTAGGGAACAGTAGAAGTGGAAGAAGTCGTTTGACTGATGTTTGGAACACTTTCTGAGCATTTAATACAAACGGATCGTTTGGATCTTTATAAGTGTTAGTCTTCGTAGCGAAAGCACAGGTAGATATGACATCCATAGTGTACTTTCCATACATTGGCTTAATGTCTATTTCTTTCCTATCCTTCGCATACACTTCTAATTCATTGATGAAGTCCTCTAAACACCTTCTGATCATTGGATACATTTTCTTCATCTTATTAGAGCTGAACGTTGGGGTGACTATCGATCGGATTCTCTTCCAGTCGTCACCGTTTTCTGCGACCAAATGTCTGCTCAGAATTGGATGGTTTCGTTGGTTTCGGTTGCGATCCGTAAATATGTTGAAGTCTTTGACACAAATTTGTTTAATCAGTTCTGGTTCGGCCACTACTAATAGGGGAGCGTTTCCGTTATATACTCTGTTTTGTGTCCAAATAAATTACTAAATAATATTTGAATTTTTCAATCTTACGATTATTGAATACCCGTATATTTTTCCGTATTTTTCTTGCCATTGAAGCGATAGGTGAGGTCTGGGTGTCTTAAATTGATACAAATAAGTACCAACTATAGGCAATGGCTTTGGTCCATTAATTCCCCTTTTTGACCAATAGTTAAAATTTCGTGTTAAATACCTTTATAAAAAATAATTCAATTATTTTACTAAATTAAAATATTTTGCAACATTTTTAAAATACCAATAAAGTATAGGTATTGCTGATAGAATTGCATAGAAAAACCAAGAATTTAAAAACGTTGTTTCCATACTTAAAACTAATGGATTACAAAAATTTTATTTAAGAATTTTTATCATAGACTAGTAGCAAGTGGTGAAAACGGTTCAAGTATTTATATTAATTTCATTCAATTACTACTATTGATGATTATTTTATATAAACCTTAAATTATAATATATATTACAGATATAATCAATAATTAATTTGCTTAGTACACTTTTTGATTGGAGCATCTGTATTTTTTGTTTTCATATTTATATATTTGTCCTTCAATTATAGTTTCAATATTTTCAAATGAATACAAAGAAATCAAAAAGTGGGTTTCGACTTTTATTAAATATTAATTTATAGTACAGTAATGAATAGTATTTTGATAGACATAGAAAATGATAAATGAAACCCTCTTTTAGATATGTTTGCAAACATTAGTGCAAATGTTTTTGCACCAGAATAAGATCAATTTATTTTTATTAGTACATCTTTACACATATGTATAATTGTTATAATTGTTTAGCAAGTACATTGAGTCTAATTAAAATCTTTTAAACAATCTGGACTCTATAAACAAAACATATTTAATAATTCTATAAATTGTTTCTTTGATTTTTTATATACGCTAATGGTGATAATGTACCAGTTAACATTGAGTTTATTTCATTTTATTAATTTTAATTATGATAACAATTTTGATTTAATTAAAAATATAATTTTATTGTAGCTTTTTTGTTAACCTTTTTTCAAAACAAAATATTTTAGCGAAATTATTTAAAACATAATACAAACTGTACTGTTATAGTAAAGCATAGACTTAGCGTTCAAATGTGTTTTGTGTAAAGTATTACAGTTTCAAAAAATAAATTCCACTCCCTTTCTTTTTATAACGACTCATATGTAATATATTACATAAATAAGTCCCACAAATGTAAGTACAAATAAAGTTTAAAATAAATAATCAACACGAATAGGACGAGTCGGAGGACAGGGAGAGACAGAATTCCCATTAAAGAACAGCAGTTTAAGAAAAGCTATTTTATTGAACACTATTTCTCAAAAGAGTTAAACTATGGAATAGTCTTCCTCTTGACATTAGATCCGAAAACAAGATAAAAGATATTTAAATCAAAGTTTAAAGACTTGCACTCAATTATTTAGTTATTGCATAATTTTAGCAAACTTTTGTAGTCGTCCAAATAACTGTTATCTTATTATCATTTTTAATTATATTAAATTATCTTGTTGATAAAGATTCCAGATAAAGTTTAATTTAATTTGAGTAAATAACTTGTCATAAATTTTAATAATTTTAAGTATTTATTTTAAGTAAACAACAAACGACAAATACAAATAATAAATAAACTAGTTAACATCAAAATATAAATATAATTATAATTTATAAGCGATAATTTTGACTAACATTTTGAAATTAATTAAAATATTCATTAATCTCTCCTTTTGATAGAAATGATGACCCGTTTAGGTGTATTCAAAAGCGGGTGAACCTTGAGGTTGAGGGGAACGTCTGTTTGTGAGCTTCGGCACAGTTTGAATCGTTTGATGATCTGAGCTATTAATCTCTCCTTTTGATAGAAATGATGACCCGTTTAGGTGTATTCAAAAGCGGGTGAACCTTGAGGTTGAGGGGAACGTCTGTTTGTGAGCTTCGGCACAGTTTGAATCGTTTGATGATCTGAGCCAGGCCTAACTTGGTCTCCATTAATGCAAACCTCATTCCAATACAATTTCGTGGTCCGACCCCAAAGGGCATGTATGTGTAGGGAACCAACTTATGCCGGTTTTCAGGCAAAAACCGGTTGGGAATGAACCGATTGGGCGATGAGTAATACTCTTCCGAGAGATGGATCGCATTAATGGGTATTTCGACTGCCTGTCCCTTTTTAATGGTAATTCCTGTGTCGCCTAATTTATAATCATTCAAACACTCTCTTCCGAGTCTAAGGACAGGTGAATGAAGTCTTAGTGTCTCTGAGATGACTGCATCCAAATACGGCAGTCGAGCCAACAGGTCGTAATCAATCTCTCCTTTTCTAATTTATAATCATTCAAACACTCTCTTCCGAGTCTAAGGACAGGTGAATGAAGTCTTAGTGTCTCAGAGATGACTGCATCCAAATACGGCAGTCGAGCCAACAGGTCGTAATCAATCTCTCCTTTGGTGTCGACGGCAGACATCACTTCTTCGTACAGCTTCTGTTGGATGTCTTCATTTAGTGCCAATTCATACGAAGCAAATGTAAGGGTAGAGGCAGTCGTCTCATAGCCCGCCTGAAAGAAGATCCAAGAGTTGGCTAATATTTCGTCTTCCGTTATATATTTGTCTGTTTCCGACAGTATTTTCTTCTCAACGGCCAATTCTTCAGCCCCTGTTATCAGAAAAATAAAATAAAATATTTTATTAATTAATGAGTTCTTATGACATAATTATATAAAATAAATAATGAGAACTGGAATCAAAAGGCATTTTTTACCTTGATTGAGATAATGTGCTTCATTCACATCGTTATCATCCCTTAAAACACTTTTGTTATTCAATAACAATAAGATTTACTTTTCAACTCACAACTTGCGACACAATTTGACCGATTATTGTCTTCGGTATTATTTGCGGACAAAATTGCAATTATTGTCCGCAAATAATACCGAAGACAATAATCGGT